ATATACATGTACTATTATATATATAAAAATAGGTTGCATCTACTTGTACAAAATTACAACGACGATGATCAGAAGATGATGATTGATGATTACTTTCCCTCAAAATTTAATAAGAGGACAATAAAAATAAATAAAGAGAATTTATTTACTTTGTCTCTGTGTGAGTATGTATGTGTGCGTGTCTGTATTTATATTTGATAAATTTTTCATCTTTTTTTTTTTTTTTCTTTTGGTTAATCGCGTGCCTCGACGATTTTTCTTAATATTTATTTTATTTATTTTATCGAAAGATTTGGCTTGTTTTTTCAAGGTTAAATTTAAGGGAATATAAATGTGTATGCATTTGAATACATCTCAATTTTAAATTCATTCAGAATGTTTTCCGAAAATTATGTTGGAATTTCGGGAAAATTCTCTTTTTTTTTTTAATTAATTTGTTATAAATCGAGATAGAAATTAGTTTTAGTCGTTGTGTTAGTCAATGTCGTCGTAGTTGGTCGTTGTCTCAGGAAATCCAATGTAAACCTTAAACGTTGACAAATAGTATTATACTATAATTAAATAGTAGTAAGTAGTAGTGGTAATGATAGTAGTAATAGTAGTAGTAGTTGTAAGTAGTAATAGTAGTAGTATTAGTATAGTAATGGACGATAGGTATTTTTGTTTTTAATTGTTTTTTTTTAATGGGATAAGACGATACACACCTTACTATAAGAAGTGGATAGAAGTACGCTTCTTTTTTTTTCTTGTATTATTTAATATTTTTTTCTCGGTCAAGATGATGAATAATTTGTTTTTTACATGATAAACATATGCGAATATTATTTTTTATTATTATTATTATTATTTTTAATATTATTATTATTTTATTATTATTTTATATTGTTCTTCTTAAATGCAAGTATGTGTATAATAGATTATCTAACGTTAAAATAATTTTCTAATTAATTTTGAGCAATTAATTCAATATTATTTTATTATTTCGTATCATTGAAATATTGTTAACGTTACTTTGTAATTTTATCTTTAAACACGTTCATTATATCAATTAATTAAAGTATTACGATTAAGGCGTTTCAATATTCAATTAGAAGAAATAATTTTCTAATGAGAATGTCTTTCTTTAATTTAGAAAAAGAAAAAAGAAAATAATTTTTACCGATCGTTTATATGTATATATATGCATATGTAATATATTTCTTTTTCTTTTTTTTTATTTAAAGCAAAATTATTACACGAGCTATAGCTAGTTCAATAATATATAAACAACAAATGAATATAAACTTGATGATGGAGGAGCTTTGTTTTTTTTTCGCTTTAATTATTATTTAATATGTAGCAAAATAGCGAAGATGAAGAAGAAGAAGAAGAAGAAGAAGAAGAAAATTTAGTTTTGGAAACAATGTGCCAGAGTTTATAATACGGAACGTATTCGGATTTCAACTGGTTTTTTTTTTTTAATTTTCTATCTCTCTTTGTCAACCCCATCACTGTTTATTGTTTTGCGTAGTTATTATTTCTTAAAAGATTGTTTGTTATTTTTAATGATAACAGACAAGACATAGATTATTTAGAGAGAGAGAGAGAGAGAAAGAGAGAGAGAGAGAGAGAGAGAGAGAAAGAAAGAGAGCGAAAGAGAGAGAGAGAGAGAGAGAGAAAGAAAGAGAGAGAAAGAAACAAAAATTGGAGAATCGAGAGAAAAATCTTAATCGTCCATCATGGGGTAGACCCGTAACGTTCCATTCATAGAAAAAATAAAAAACAAATAAATAGTATAGCTTTGCTCGCAAAGTGATAGAATGCATAAAACAAACGAACCTAAAAATAATCTAACGATTGGCCCGAATGTAAGATAGAGCGACAAGATGGCCGTTTACAGTAAGTACGGATTGTTTCGTAATTTAGAAAAAAATGAAAAAAAAATTAAATAAACAAATTATTAACATTAACAAGAAAAACAAAATAGATTGATAAAAGTGTACTAATATTTGCCTAAATATAAGAATTTATCTAAACTTTGTAATTTCTAATTTCTAAATAATATTTGTGTAAACAGAATTTTATGTAAAAAAAATTTAAAATTTAAAGAGAAAATAGTCGTTATAAGAATAAAATTTTTTCAGACGTGCTGAACATTTATTTGTCAAAATTTTTGCTCTAAATCTAATCATTTCTATTGTCTATCCAAAGAAGAAACAAAATCATTAGATGTTTAAAAAATTAAAACTATGCTAATAACAAATGCGTTTATTCGAAAATAGATTCATCCCGTCACGTAATTAATTCATTCGTGCGTTAACTATGGTAAATGTTTGTAAATGTATAGCGTATCTTGATTACATTTGTTTTATTTTTTTTTTTAATTAATCCTTTGATTCCTAAATTTTTTACGGTCCGTACTTACTGTATTTGCAACTCTCGTTAAATCACGTTTCGGCAACTACAGGTAGAGAGCAGGTTTGGGAATTGTGAGCAAAAATGCGTTTTACCGAGATAATATTATTTTAAGATA